TAAACTTAAAGAAGACTCGGCCATTCAACAAATGATTGGCAACACTCTCCAAACCGTGACAGATGGCAGGATATTTGAAAAGTTGCTGCTTGATGGAAAAATGTTTCGCTCGATCTCTCGTTGGGTTGTAAACATCATGCAAATGAGGTACGCTCGCTACTTACTTTTAAATCGCTGTCCATCCTTAAGTAAAATAAGTTGCGTTAAAAAGTCTAAATTAGAAGATATAAGCTTAAAGAAGACTCGGCTATCAGCAAATGACCGGCAACACTCTCCATACGGTCTTTGAAAAGTTGTTGCTCTTGAATAATTTCACCGTTTATTACAACAACCAAAACATCGTTAAACGTGTCGCAATGTAGCACAGAATTACTCGCGACAACTAAGTTTTCTTGTTATTTTTGTTGTAGTTTATTTGAGCATTGTTTCTACTACATTTCAATATTAAGTCTACTTTTGTCGTTGCTCACATAAATCCTGTAAAACACTTTCTTAGTGGGAAATAATTGTGTAGTAGTGATTACTCACGACAATTATAAACTTATACACGTATAGCATTTTTCCACATCTGTTGTAGTTTATTCTTGCATTGTTTCAGCTCGCTTATAGTTCTTCTGTCACTTTTGTCGGTGTTCACACAAGAAATTTATGTAAAAAACGTTCTTAATGCAAAATAAATATTGTTGAGTTTAAAATGGCTGATTCTTTGACTTACTATAAATCAGTATATCTTAACAATTGTCTGTGGACTGACCGGTCATCACGTGGAATAGTTATCGACTAGAGACATAATTTATCATACCTCTTCGGCCGACAGAGTTAACGCGAAATCTGAACCACAAAATTCCCTAAACCATGCAGATAACACTAAACATAATCCAAAAATAAAATAAGTCATCTGTCAATTCACGAGTTTACTTGCGGAGCACTTTCATTCGATTCTACTGTTCATTGCGGTTTAGCGGATTTTCCGTTTTTTATCATTTGGTTTTTGGTTTTCGTCAAAACTTCTAATACGTGTATTTTCATGTCTTATTGATCGAATATGCAATCGGTCAGCTGGTCGATGCAGCTCGTGCTAGCTATGCTGTTATTTCAGTAATTTGAATGAAGAAAATAAACTAATCCGCCCCATTCGAGGTCAACCACGCGGTACTAGGATGGATAATAACCTCTCAGGAGATGCAGTGATTTTGACGACTACAACTGATTTAAGACATTTAAGAGAAATTTGCAGACCTGGTTCTCAAGATTATCCCGCCATGTTTTTTATGTTTTGACCCGGCATAACAGCTCCGAGCTGTTATGAGTCATAACTAACTGATACTGAAAGTTAATTATTTGTCTAAATATCATTCACTCAAGTTAATGAACTTTCCAGAAACTTATTATAATGATCAGGCGAAAAATCACCGCCGCCAAATCGAATTTCAAGATCAAATAATGTTTTGATGTTAAATATATATAATACGACCGAAAATAATAGCACGTAACAGATGCACGCTTATCATCGAGCATCACCCAGTGACCAGATGTTTTCCGCATTCACTGAAGCTATTGAGAACGGTATCAAAAACTTGCCAAGGTAAGCTTCATTTTGCGTGATACTCCTTGAATGTTAAGGAATCTAATTTATCGTTACATCACGTAGCGATGCAATGTAATCAAATATAATAAATACTGGCTGAACTTATGCATCTCCGATTCTTTAGTGTATCTAGGTTAAGAACTAACCCAATTAAATTGAGCACTTGGACTGTAAACTGAGCAGGAGAGACTCATTTTTAGCTAGGAACCTCCTGCTCTGGCCTACAATAAGCTATAACCTTTAACCAGTACCACATATATTGAGACAGATCCTTACTGATTACAGCACTCACCAAAGCTAATTTTGCTTTTGAAGAACCTCGCTGCAGCCGAACTCTAAGTTTTCCACGAGGAATCAGTCACGCGATTAATTGAATGAGTCACGTGATCAAAAAAAGCGGGAAGTCGAAAAAATAAATAAAATGTCCCTTGGAAGCTTCCATCTCGTTTGTTGTAGAATCTCGAAAAGCTTTGCGAATACTTTAAAAGGTGAATGTTTGCAAACCCTCTTCACTCCTTGATGGACCAAGGAGAGCATGTAACAACAACCGAAGATATCCTATAAGTTACATATATTTGGAGAAAATCGTTTATTTACTTTTCGCGGAAAGACGTTCTGTGCAGGACATTTTCAGCTTCCATCACAGTTTATCGGCGTCTTCATGATATTCAATCCCGCCTGTTTTTCTCCTCTTTGCTCCGTTTATTAATGGATAACAACTGATAGCTTTACTCCATTTGTTTTCCTCAGAAATAAAC